TTTCTTACCTGAATCGCTGCTTCGTACAAGAACTGAGACTCTTTCTTAAGCTCTTCCAACGCTTTCCGCTGATTTCGCAGCATTACGTTCACTCGTTTCAGCTCTTCAGTGTTCTTTCTCGCGTTGTACCTGAAACATGTCTTATTTGGTACACAAATATAATCTTAAGTAGGAACATGAAACGCGCAGTAATATTTTTCCTGGTTTTAAACAAGTTTTTCGGCTCACTCTCAGCAGAACTTCATAGGTTCTGGTTTGTTTCTTACTGCTCATTCGTTAACAGTCAATGCCAGCACCGATAAGTCCGTCCTCTATCAATTGTCACTAAGAAAATGTTTACTGCTGATTAAGAATGTACATTCTGCTGGTTAAGCACAAAGCCCATTATGAAGCGGGTAGCAGTCGCAAAGCGTACGCCCTACACAACCTATGTAACTTTCGTAAACCATGCATGGTATGATCGTGCAACTAATGACCCCATATTTGGGGCAGCTGCCAAAATACAGCAATTTTCGATGACCCTGAGCGGTCCTTGCCCTTGCAGTAGATTTATGGGGCATAACTGCACCATCCCCTAGCTTCTAAGTGCCTAGGGCATCGTGTTAGCGGGTCGCTCCATGATATTTGAGTATTTGTAGTGCTGAGCCTATGAAGCTACACTTCATCACAGTGTTAGAGTGGAGTCGAACAGCAACTGAACTGTGCCGAGCAGTGGTCGCTCGAATACCAACCGGAAAACGCCACGATCAGTTGGTATTTGTAGCACTACTAATGACTCGGATATTCTGGAGCAACTGTCAAAAAATGTAAATGCACAAAAATTCTGACCTGCTATCAACAAGTTCATACAAAACGATGTGTCATGTAAAATGTGCCGTTTACCTCATTATATTACAAAGTATGTCCTGCAACACTGCACTTATAACACTTATTTACGCTGTATTAAACTTAGCTATATTATCATTGATACAAATATGTAGTATGAACGAATTTCAGCATCACAGAGTATTTCAGCGAGTCGCTGATTCATCGATTTTTTCTTACCGTACTTGTGTATTACGTAAAGTAATGATAATACGTAATACATAATAATATATAATAAACATAATACGTAACGCAGTTGCCTTTACGCCTTGTACTAATATTTAGTCAGCTAGCAGACGAGTGAAGGCGAATTGCAATGACGAAAAGTGCATGTTATCAGAGCACATGATTGCATGTCTAGCACGTTTTGCATAATAACACTAAAACTCACCATGCCGTTCCTATGATTCGCAGCTCAACGACCTGCTACTACCCGTTTTTCGGCTCGTTGCACCGAAGTACAGTAGCGTCGATCTCTTATTCAAGGCAATTAGCAATTAATAAAAAATGTACGCCACGCGCTGGGTTTGAACACGGAATTCATGGAAGTGCAAAGCAGCCTATTACCTAACCCACTGCCCCAAAAACTGTCACGCGCCACCTGTCGCTAATACTTCCAATCAGACCCAGGTAGATGAGTGCATTGGCGAGGCTCGAAGCTGTACCAAAGGTTTATAACTATCTTCAGAGCTTATAGTGAAGCTGAGTCTCATTACTTGAGGCTGTTTAATGTGACATTTTTCTTGTTGTTTGTCTGTGTAATTTTTTGTGGTTATGTACTAGTTGTACAGTAGTTGATGTTTGTTTCTTCACTGCTTTGTGTCTCGGGCCGGAGCTAAGGAAGTAGTAGTTAAATTGAAAAGAATGTTATACTGTTTCTGGAAAAGATCGTCAGAAAAATCTTGCATAAAACGGTAATATACTAGACAAAATAGTTACATAGCCAGGGGAGGTAACGGAGTTATCGTTTGAGAACTTTACCTGTCATACAGTTATTGAGCGTAAATTTTGGGAGAGCAAAAGAACGCTAGGTAAATCTAGCAAAGAAAAAACGTCGCGCTTTTCCAGTGCAACAACTGATGATGATGCTGTGAATAAAATACGTCGTAAAGACAATTTTGAATGATTTATTCCTCGCTATCATTCAATTCATTAGTGCTTCCAACCATATCCTTGCTCACCACTTAATCCGTTCATCTATTTCAGTCTACTCCAATTTTCTATCTTAATTTTACGTTGAATTGATTGTATGAATGACAAACCCTCTTACCAATTGAGACATTGAAATTAAGTGGATTTGTGTCCCCTCCAGCGCGCTAATCCGTTCTTACAGGCACAGCGTAGGCCATACCGGTATAAAGTGAAACTGACGTGCTGTTCCTTCCAGACACTGGAAGTAGATACAGTGGTTTTACTGGATTATTAGACGCATACCCCTATATTTCAGCCTTACTACTAATATGTTTAAGTGTACCCAGTGGCCTATGACTGAAAAAAAAATTAGTTTCACAACATACCGATACGGATTGTAACATCACCAATGACAAGAAAGACAAAGTCGTTTAGCTCACTTGCTCCATTCTTTAAACTCTGGCTCCCTTCCGGTGTATAGGATGGTTCCTTCACTTGGTTGTCTTTGCCATTTCCTATAACCAATAACAAAAATGTTCTACCAAGAGTATACCACTATTACATCTATCATACTTTAGGTTGTCGAGCACCTTCATTTCCGGTGCGTTCTCTTCGATCGGTTTTAATTTCTTAGCGTGGCGTAGCAACTGCTGTATAGTTTTTTCAGCTCGTTTCTTTTTCTTTTCTAACCGGTTCCTGATGATTTGTGGGTCTACGCGCTTTTTCTTCTTCAGCGGTTCAGCGCTAAAATCAAAAATGTAATAACGAGGTTAATCCACCCTAAGTTTGTTTCTGCCCAAACCGTAACTCAGAATGAATATCCTTAAGATACTAGGAGTGGTACATTGTTGGCATGAAAAAATGGAAAAGTCACAAATCACATTAAAAATATTGATGCCGGATTGAAACAGCGAAAATGCAGTGTAAAGAACGAAAAATCTATTTCTCACTTTACACCAGCAGGTAAAGGAAGAGAGACATTGGGTACGATTTAAGCAGGCCACGCTTACATGGTATTTAAGCGCCTGCAATGCAAAGGACTCAGGACTGCATGTCAAACGAGTTGAATAAAAGTATATTCAACTAAAATTGCCAGGATGAGTTGGAGAACGATGGACAACATATTATTTTGCTCATCGAAGTCAATAGTTGCTATGATGTTAAGTATCCTTTACTCTTCCTTGACTGGGTGCCATTATCGGCACTCTTCCTTCACAAAATGGTACCAATGTCAGTTTCTGTCATTTGCTAGGAATATTCTTGCTTTCAAACGCTTTGTGCCCATTATACTACGTAATGATAGTCTCCCAGAAGTGGTATTCGTTTGATATCTAACAACGACGAAACGCGAATGACTTGATCGAGACTTGATCTCAGGATTGTCGACTCAGCTACTGAGCAACTTCGGTTACCTGATAGGGTACCCTTAACTGCGCACAACCCGATTAACTTTTGCACCATTTTACAACCGATGCAAATTTATTACATCCTATCTAAGCGAAGGCAAACCTTAACGAAGATGCAAAGTTGTGGCAGTAAGATAGATCATTGAAAAAACGACTGGGCCGTTTAACCAATTTATATAACATATTATTAATTAAAGGAATTCATTTAAGCTCTGACAGTACTGAGACGGTAAGGTGATTTTAAAAATTAACATATTTGAATATTTTTACCAGAAAAGAACATCTGATGAAGTTAATGAACCGGAAAAGAACAACTTATCGAGAAAAAATTCAGAACGAAACTGAACCACTTCTGTAATATAACGTTTTCTGGAGTAAGAAAAACAATCATTTTGTGAATTAGTCCTTATGGTGGCTTCTGTGCCGGAAGCCAGAAAATCGGATTAAAAGAGAAAAGAGAATATGCGACATTCGAAGTCATTCGTACTGAAAACGTGGAGAGATTATAACCACTCGCTTATACTGAAAATGTCATTCTGAAGATTTAATAAACTATTCTGTTCTAATATTGTTCATCCATTACGAACCTGTTTCACAAAAATAGAGCCGATACGTGAGGGCAATCACTAGGAAACCCTATCTATTACAATTATATCAAAATAGCACCAAATTTAAATCAAAATTATGCTACGTTTCGTGAATAGGCACCACGTAATCACATATTACAGATCCCCACATTTTCGAAACACGTTCAGCAACCTCAAATAGGTGAAAGGCATCATAGCAAAACATGACAAATAGCATACGAGATAAACCGCTCATCTAAAGAGATTTATACTGGAGAAACTAGTATAAAGCTGAATAACTAGGTGAGTGAACCCATCAGCTGGTATACTGTCGTTGCGGAACATAGAATAAGCTGTCACAATGGGATGCAAGCAGTATCGTTCGCAAGGAAGCCAAGTGGCGAAAAAGAAATATCTTGAAAGTGATAACGGTAGAACAGACAGAAAGCAAGTTTAACAGGCAAGAGGGAATTTACGAGATCAGTCCAACTTGGATTTCACTGTCACAGGATTAAATTGTCACTAAATGTAAACCATTTGAACTCGTTACGAACTCATCACCATATTCTTGCCCTAATACCAACAACATGCAAAATGCACCAAGAACAGCTAAACGATTCTGGCACAAAAACAGATTTCATGATCCTGCATCAGGACTACCATATTAGGTTTGACCCTACCGAGAGGTTGTTCGCCACCTTGAGATGCGAGATGTTGCTCAGAATTAGACAGTGGTTAAGTACTCACTGAATTCAAGTTAAACGATTTAAATAAATGAAAAATTTGTTTAAACAAAATATTTGTAAAATTTAATTCAAAACCAGTGCTTAAAACCGCTTGAAAACTTCTCTGGTAGAACATTTACTATTTTGAAAAGTATGACGACTTTAAGAAATAGAGTTATCAAAAATGTTTCGTATTTTGCATTCCTTCATAAAATTCCATATATTAAACAACAGTAAATTTAACATTTTAGTTCATTAGCATAGACAAAATCATTTATCATATCATATGAAGAAATGAGCTATGAATATTTTTCTGCTAGCTGACTTTCTATCTTAAACATTTCATTGGCTAAGTCAAAATAATGCCATCCATAGCATCCTAAAAGAAAACGTCTAAAATCATGGCGCAGTTAGTTATGTCGCCAAACAAGACAAAATTTTTAGACACTAATGATTTCTGAAACTCATTTCAGTTCAGTCTTTTTCAATAAACCATCATATCAGTGGTTGGACACAAGGAAACAGGCAAATGGTAGTATTTATTATAACTGTGGGCGGCATTGTTTCAACTAAACTACACTGCCCAAGCAATATCTGAAAACTTAACCCTGAGAATCGCAAATGAAGTTAGGCTGGAAAATCGGCAACGCGGTTCAATAAAAGCTACCACCCTTGTGCTTCGTTGCGTCTAGAACCACTGAAGGGGTCAATTTTCATTTTCGAAACAATCTAACTAATAGAATTCACAACACGAAATGTCACGAGTGTTTCCTTGGTAACGGTAATGAAAATTATGTAACTAATGCAGCATATATCTCAAAACCAATATTCTTCTATAATCTTCTATACAGACTTACAAACGATGATAGACGTTAATTTCATTAATCAACAAATGCATAAATCATTCATAAGAGTCAAATATCGAAATGGATTCAGTTTGCCAAGAGTCAATAAGCTGAATCTTCTTTCTTTATAAATTAATTGTTATCGCTTCGCTGCCCGTGGTTACGTCATCTCAAACGGTTATTTTCCAGTCACTGTGATTTAAAATTCAAGCACTTTGTGGCATCTGACACAAATCATTCCAAGTTATTCTGATCATTTGTCGAAGTACAGTAATCTCAACGGCCTAGAGTTTCTTTCAACCGACCCATGTACAGAAGCCGATGCATAAATCTAGGCTACAACTCAACAAAGTGACACCGCCCGTTTTCCTAAATATTCTATATCCTTCATACGTTGAACGACTGTCATCCAATAATTTAGCTACACATCTGTTACGTTTGTACATGTCGTTCGTGCGACAGCCATGCGCCGTGGGGCACTGATTTGGATTCTTGCGAATGCCACAGCAGTCTGCATCTTTCCTGTCTCTTCCTGCCACCCCCTCCAATTAATCACATAATTTTTCGCCAAACCGTAAGTTCGTCCTGGAAACTATAATGCCCTAAGTTGAACTGTCAAGCTAGTGTTAACAATATCTGGCGTCGTCAATCATAGACTGTAAATGGCCCAGTGACCATTAGAAACAATTCAGGATCGACCTTCTTGCTTGCAGTTTTATCACGCATAAATGCAAATCATCGAAGGAAGACGCCTGACACGTGATCTGACAAGTGAACTGCCCGTTTTGCCATTTTTATGTAGAGATGCATCGCCATTTTATGCATATCTTATGTTATCACTGCAAGAACAGCATATTTGTCGTTTTATAGACACTCAAATGTTATCACCGTTAGCGTTTATCGATCCACTGCTGGTTAAAATCCTCGCCAAGATTTCGCCACAAAATTCTACCTCTGAATTATTCCAGCAGTTATTTTTACAAATTTCTGAAATTAAAACAGTTCAGCATGTGTATTTAAATTAAAACCAAATTAGTTTTTCCTATAACCTTGTTTGACTAAATTTCCATTATTTTATGTAACGATTTATCAGTCTATAACACCAATTTGCAATCAAGCAGAAACGTCCACCTTTCATATTCAATACTAGAATTTTGACCATCGACTGTTGACATCACCGTACAAAGTCAATGGTAAAACATTTTTTGCCACGTTTACTCGTCGCCGGGGCGCAACGCTATGGTGTTATTTGTCGTAGAGAACAAGGGGTGAAAAAAAATTTAAATGGCTTTGCTTCTTACCCTCGGCAATTGATCAACCAATTAGCAGCAACAGTTCCAATCAACAATGGGCTCAGAATCGAAAGAGTCAAATCATTCATTTCTCAAAGAAATTTTATAGGTGAACAACGTTTGCCATTTCTGCATGGAAATTGACGCCACTTCTGATTTTCATACTCTCCATAATCCATATTAGGTGTCTTCATCTCGGAAAGCATACAATGTTCAAAATGCGGGATCACGTAAAAGAGGAAATAACGAGGCGAAGTGAGGATATGTCCCTAAGCCGATTACGATCATTTACTGAAAGCTCGGACGTGCAGAAACATACCATCTGCGAAGCCACTTGTGGGAACGAGCGAACGCTGAGCACCGAGGACGTCAGCTGAATCGCAGCGCAATGCAACATGGATATATTGGGATTCTCAAAAATCCACTTATCAGGACAAGGATATCAGCGGATCCCAACCCTGACTTCGCTAGAATCGCAGCTCTGCTGATGTGAACAAAGAAAGCGTCCAGTACATGAGAGTCACTGCATTCATTTTTAAACCGTCGCGACAACAGAAACTAAGATGAACTTTTTTCCCCGTGTACAGGGTCAAAAGAAGGACCATTTTCACGCCTGTTTTCATACGGTAGTTCGTTCTTTACCATGACACAAGCTTTCGATCATTGCCGGTGACGTAAAAGCCCATATCGGCAACGACCATGAAATTTTGTTTCGCATCTCAGATCAACATGGCCGTGATTTTGCAAACAGGCATTTCCTGTTTGACATTTGCCCTAAGCATCGCTTCGTTATCTATTTTCATTGTTGACCTCAATCTATATTCCTTTTTCTCTAGTTTCAGCGACTTTAAGATCCTTCATAATTTGGCTTCAGAACAGGTCGAGGGACTACAGATGAACTTGCGTATTTCCAGTTACTATGGAAATGAACAAGAACAAAACAATAGTTACAACCGTACTCCTCGATGTGCTTCCCGTCATTTGACACGACCCAAGGGACAGGTTATATCCTACCCCTTCACAAACTTGTATAAAACAATGTTCAAAGGACAACTGCGGCGTTCTTTTTTGAGCGTAAAGAAATCGTGCTCTTCAGTGGCTATGACCGCCTAATAATTGTGCGTTATGTAAAATTGATCCCGGATCCGAAATTACTCGCATTGCGCAAGAACGATCCTATGCTAAAATCTCCGGAAATGCGCCTATGTCTCAACGTTGCAATTGCCATGCGCCAGAGAGACCTCAGTGAATAAAAGTCATAACGATGCTGCTTCACTGAATTCAAAAACACGAGCGAATTTAACATCAACCTGTTCAAACTTGTTCCACGCTTTCACGTGGGTGAATAATGCGAAAGACCTTGGCTAGATCATTAACGAGCAGCTAATATTGTCTGATAACATGACCTGTGACATAAAGGTGCTGTATGATACTGATTAATATTTATGAATCTCCATTTCAAGAGCTTTAACACGCAATGCATTTGGCAATCGCCAGATCTGAAAGATTATAGGACGTTATTATACGATAATACCATCGCACAAAGTTTTTCTCGCTCACTCGTTTTACATTGATTTCGCAGCCTGCCATTGCTCGACTTCAAGTACACGAGGCAAGTTCATTATTGCGATCACCCCTAACCGGACTAAAATACGATCAGTAGCACCCTATCTAGTTGGAATGTTCAGAGATCCTTTCACACTGAAGCGTGGTCCATGGGAACCACAGATCGGAGTGGCTCAATCGGTAGAACGTCAGACTCGGAACTGAGAGATCGCGGATCACAGATACGAACCTTGGTCGAGCCACTGGCCTTTCTTTCTTTCGCCGCTTATGAGTTATTCCATATTAGAAGGAAACATGAGACTATACGCTTTATTTGTTAAATAGCTGTAGACTCTACCTCTGAAATTAGATAATCCTAATGAATGATGGCACAGAAACAGAGATCCGCGCTGCACTATAAACTTTGTGAAAAGAGCACCACAACTGGCTATTAATCTTCACAGTGTAAGGGAGACCAACATCCCAACAGATGCAAACTTCCGTTTTTATCGATCGGAATTTCATAACAATTATGTTTCTTGTTGATGCCGTGCACAAAACATGATCTTGTAAAAGTAAAGATAAATTATTACTATTAATACCATACGATTAAACAGAAAATCTATAATCAATGAAAAAATCGCCATCCTAGCAACAGGGTACACGCTGGCGGACCATTTCGCGTATAAATAGTAGCCACAGTAACTTACCATAAAATAGGCGACAGAGAAATATAGCGAGACTTTTCCAGCAAACATGGGATCTGGTCAAAGAGATTGCACGCATATCCAAGACGACAGAAAAACATACTAAAACACAGAAGAATACAAATCAACAATCGATAAAAGTGGCATGGATGAAACTCAGAGTATTATATGAATAGAAACCATAAGCAACAGTAACTGGTAAAACCTTTTATTAATAAAAAACAAACAAAACAATGAGAATCATATAATAATGTGTTTTAATCGATAGCAACAGCTTAGTGTTTTTATTCGGTCAGCTCCAGGAACATCGCGTACGTCTGCCTCGTGCACTCGCCTTTCAGATTGAAAATGAACTTGTAGTAGCTACCATCTGCACAAACAACTAAAGCAGTTCACGAGAATCAGTTTAAACGTATAAGCAACGGACAATCATGTGAATGTTGAGGAAACAACAGCTGAAATGTTCAGTGTAAATAACTACCACAAAAGTGGATGCATATTTCGTCAATTTATATACATCACATTTATACATTACGTTACCACGACGCATCGATTCCACGTGTGCAGGGAACGATAATTTTTATTTTACGTTATCCGTGCGAAGTTACACACCAACGGGACAGTTTAATTAAAAATGGTATTTAGGTCTGTTTATTGTAGAGAACGAGCTGCCGGTATTTCGAGATATTTTAACCCTCTGCTTTGGCTGTCACACAACACTAATTAATCTTTTTCTGACGGTCTTCAAAATCCACCGTTAGAGCCTCTTCTGAAAACCTGGCATATTTCTTTCTTCTCAAATGCCTATACCACTTTAGTAGGTGTTCTATTCTTCCTATTATCTTAAGCTGTGCAAAAAATTTCCCCTATAACCATCCGTCCTGATGGAGATGGCGTTGTGGCACAGTGTCTAAAAGGTCTGTTTCGAACTCCGGTAGTACCGGGTTCGATGTGCTCTATGACAATCTTTCTGTTATTGACGAATTTCCGCTAGCAAGGAATTTACGTTGCTTCAGACCGGGGCTACTCAGTCAGTAGAGCGTCAAAATCAGAACCGATGAATCCCTAGTTGAGGTCACGCCCCTGTAGAGGTCAGTCATCTTTCTTTCCTGCGAGGTTGATAACTGGGTATCACTCCGTGGGAAGGAAACAGGAGACTACACGTAGCGCTCGTCACATGGCTTTAGAGTCTGCCTTAAAAATAGTCACTTCGGGCTGACTGCATAGAAACGGCGGAGATCACCATCGTACCATCAACTTCATGAAAAGAAAAGCGTTAAAATTGCCCAATCTTGAAAGTGATGGAAGAACGACCTTTCAACGGTGATAGATTTTCTTTTCCATTTTTTCTCATCGAGGTAAAGGTTGATCGGTCACCGGATTATGCAGTTTTTATGAATGCAACTGTATACAATTAACCGCATTGCCTCACCGTCACTGTCCATTTTGATGAGGCGAAGGCAAGACTGGAACTATGCAAAAACTCTTCTAATCTTTTTCTTTACCTTATAATGCATGCGCCGCTGAATACTACAATAATTACATCAATAAATGCATCCGATAGTGCCTCGGAACAATTATCACCGAAACGTGTCACAAGCTGATACTGTGAACAACTGGACAGCATGGCGCACCTAAGAGAATTTACGGCAAGTCCTCATCTCATAGATGACAAAATTCTGTTAAAAAATTACTTTCTAAATTTTCAACTAATTCAACTATTGTGTTTTATGGAAACATTTTACAAACGGATAAATGCTCTACGACATCGAAGAAATGTTTCACCGAAATTCTGAATAAAGATATGCTCTAAGAGGCACGGAAAAAACAGTAATTTCAAAATCGATCGCCCACCCAGCACAAGTTACAAATCAAACAATTCACAAACTAATACCTATGAGAGAATTCGGGTCTGCGCCGAATGCACAGATCAGCCGCATCTCACGTTTTTTGCTTATTCCCGGAATTTGGATGCGTGAGAAGCTGGTCTTTGAATTAAAATACTTCGTCAGTGCGTTCGGAGTTGACTGCCTAAAGCAAGAGACGTTGTAATTCTGAAAATGAGTGATCTGAAAGGTTAGTTTCGAAAAAGACTGTAAGCAAAGAATTTGTTATACAGTATAAGTACATACAGTATAGCATATAGTACACTATTGTACGCAGTATAATATAACGACTCCAACAGACAGTGATGCGAGAGCATCGGGCATTGCATTTATTGAATATGTTGTGCAACCTGATTCTGAAGAACTCCGCTATTTAACATGTTTTATATTTATCAAAGAATGGTATGGAATAGACTGTTTTAAAGCTCTTATAGATGCAATTTCCAGCTAAAAATTCTTCCGCTACATTTGGACCAACGGCTTGAAGCGCAGTGATACTAAAAAGTAACACTAAAAATTTATTTTAGGGCGAGTTTCATTATGGTACAGTTCCCAACGTCATCAGGCAAATACAGTGCTATGACATATCGCCGCACAGCAATAATATCATGCTGTCGAGTACTGTAATATAACATCGAATGCCATGGAGCAGCATAATATACTATACTATCTTACGCAACATTATATGCTGCTACGCTCCACAACAGTATGAAATGCTAAACAGCGGTAAATGTATTATATTATAGAATTATATACATTACCAAGTTGTAAACTAAACGATGGTATACATTATCATACTTCTGTCCCTTATTACATAAAATAATATCGAAAAACATTTTATATGGAATAATACAGCATTGCAATGCTATGCATCTGAATACAGAAACGAAATGTTCGAGCATGAAACCTAACCCGTGGAACAAGCACTGATTGACTGGCGAAGCAGCGAAAACATCGTACGCCGATTTTCGAAATTTTTTCCATCGCAGAAAAATGGCTTCTAGTTCAAGGCGACTGACCATTCGAGAACAGGAAGTCCGACTTTATAAAAAGACCGACCAGTACCAGAAAGCTGTTGTTAGGCTGAGTGATCTGAACGAGTTACAGCTGCTCGGTAAACAATCTTGCCTTGTATGGTGAAATAATAAAGCAGAACCATCGCGCCCGGCAACCGACGATGATACAATATATTGTCTTCCTATACAATTCCATATGATATTACATCATGGGATAACATGATATATTCACAATTGGATACTGTCCCATACTAACTTTTGTTATACCGTACTACAATATGCTACACTAGACAGCAGTATCATAGTATATCACCATCAACACAGTCTTTGTCGATCCACTGCTGAATGAAGGCTTCTTTGCCACAGACTTCCCTGTGATTTAGTTCTGATTTCATCTTGGAGGATATGGCCATA